CATCTTTGAGATCTAAGACTGTAAAGTAAGTAGCCCCGCCCGGAATTAAAGCAAGCAGGTTATATGGATTGGGCACGACTGGATGTATACTAACAACCGCATCATTGACTGCTCTCAAGTCCTGCACAGGTCGATACTCATCTGTACCGGGCTTTTGAACAGGCAGCAATGGGGTGTTCCAGGGGGAAGTACAGAATTTTAGGATACCATACCGTATGAACTTATCCAGATAAGATTGGATGTTCTTCTTAGCCTTCTGCGGAATATGATATTGTCTCAGGCTTACTGGATAAACCCCAAGTTTTAGTTCGATTTTAATAGGTGGAATATTGCGGGCCAGTCCTGGTGGGTTGTTCTCTGCCCAAACTCCTGGTATGTTAAATAAGGATTCATCACTCCTCGGGTTTTGGCTAGTCAACACTGTATAAAGTCGCCACTCTTCTTCCTTTGGTACGGACAATGTCATAATACCTGAGGGTCCATTAAACTTTAAGGATGTTGTTCCATTTGGTAGGAACGTAATCTGCGCTTGTAATTTGGATAGCATATCACGTCCCAGCAATTGGACTGGACACTCAGGCATATAAAGGAATTGATGTTTTACTACGTGGCCTCCCAATGTACAGAGTCGACTTTTAAGAACCGGTTTTTCAGCACTTCTTCCAGTTGCTCCTATTACAGTAATAGTTCTTCCAGATGGAGGAGCAACTTGATTAGTCACCACCGAATGTTCAGCACCAGTGTCGATCATAAACGCACTCCTTTTTCCCCCTATTGATACATCGACCATAGGCTCCGCTCGACCAAGGGGGATGGAGCCCGGTCGGTATCAATAGTCCTCCATGACCGTGTCAGCCAATCCCACAAAGTCCCTACCTTCTCTATCGCGGGACCTTTGCGCTGCTGGATAGTACCTATCTTCCCTTACACTTCCTCTGTTCCCATTACTCCCTCTATTACCATTACTCCCTCCGGGGCCTCCTCTACCTCTCGCTCTGCCTCTAAAGTTTCCGTAACCTGCCCTGGGTAAGTCTCTCTCATACTGCTCTCTTTGCGGACACTCGTTCCTCCAATGCCCTTCTTCCTTACAGTACGCGCACTCAAAGGCTCCCTATTCCATCTACCATCGCCTCTATCTGGGCCCCGTCTATCTACGCCTGCGATCGCTACCGCTAGCATATCTGCCTTTCTACGCATCTTGCGCTCTTCCTCTTTCTTACTTTCTGTTTCCCTATTCATATATACTTTGTTCGCTACCTCCATTAGTTGGGTGATAGACATACCTGCAAACCCTTCTAATTTCTGTAGCTTGCGCTTAATATCTCCGTAAGCTTGGCTGACAAAGGCGGAGTTTACCATTCGGGAATTATCAGCGTCTTCCGGATTAAAGGGGGTATACAAGCGGTATGCCTCCAATAATCGGTCATAAAAGACACTGGGCGCTTCATCACTTTTCTGAATCACCTCAACTGTCTTCGACATGTTAATAGCTTTCTTCCCTCCGGCTTTCATGCCAGCAATTATAGCATCTCTATAGGCTTTAAGTTGAGCCATATCTGCGCCATTTACATTCCAGTCAGGATCGGTGTTAGGGTAATGTGTTGCGGCCCATGCTGCCGGATTGGCTTGATTTAAAGCACGGGCTCTCTCCTCTAGCGCCTTAATGGCCGCTTGGTTAATCCTTGTCCTTTCCTCATTATTGAACAATGTCATTAATAACTGCTGGCAATCAGCCCATGTCGGGTTATGTGTCTGAACTATCGAGGTGAACAGATCGGTCATAGCTTGTGGTTTCTCAGTGTACGAGGAATTGTGGGTCTTCCAATTCAAGAGATCGGTAGTCGTGAACGGGACATATACGAAGACTGGGTCAGCATGTGCCATTTGACCTGCGGCATCGATATAGGCTGACCCAGGATTCAGACGAAGAGGCATCTGATAATGTTTTAATTGTTGGGTACCGGTCAGTTGTCGGGTTAGTATGGGGCTACGTGGAGGGGCGTCAGTTAAAGGTTCCGGTCGAGAGGTAATAGGGCATGAGGATGTGGGAACTTGATTTTGGGAAAAGTTAGTGAATAGTATACTCCGAGCCGAGCTAGAAGAAGCTTGACCGGAAGTTTGAAGTGGCGCCAAATCAGGATATTCAGATCTAATGGGGGTTGGTCCTGGTTCCGGAAGGGGAGTTTTAATACGAGGGGGGGTGGATTCTGTACTGGAGGAGGAAGCGGAAGTGGATGGGGGCAATAGGGGAAGGGGTGCAGAGCTTCCTGCATTCGCGTCACTTCCTCTTAAAGGAAAGTAAGGAGGCGGCAAAGGGATCTCGGACTCAGGGGGCGTGTCCAAAATGGGCCTAACACCAGTCCTAGTGGACAAACAAGTCCTGGCCACCATGAGGCGACATTGCTCCTCGTGGCATATCCGGATCCATTTTGGCGAGTCGTTTACGGCCTGCCCCCAACAATCAATGTATGGAAACTGTCCGTAAAGTTCAGGCCTACCTGATACAGCCACGTGTACACGCTGTACCAGGGTTGGATCCAAACTGCCACGCGGCGGCCATGCCGCAACCAAAATAGGCCACTCCCTAGTGCACAAAGTGACCAAACGTACAGGAGACATTTTAACCCCAAAATCACATGTTTTGAATCCCTTTTTAAAATTCTTTACCATACAACCTAAGGGATCCGAAATCGTTGACTCTGACGCGCCCATACTTATCAATGGAACGTCGTTGACAACGAATACTATGCACGCGTTCTTATTCAACAGTCACACCCGTTTCCTCTGGCAACAGCACCACGTGGTACAGTTACCGAGTGAAACGTACACAATAACACAATAATCACTCAGGGAATTCCCGTACACACACAGCTGTTACACCAGTCACTAAATAATCAATATTATGCCCTTTGGCGAAACTATACAGTCACCCACGCTATAATTCTCTATATATGAATTACCCGTCTATAACACACCCCAGTAACATCGTCTTTTACTAGTATCGGTTACAGTACGGTTAGCATAGGTCAAAGCACAATTTAAGGTCACAATACAATTATTAGTGGTTACGGTGTTAAACATGCAATAGACGACAATGATTAGTACTTATATACAGTGTCAGTAAATATACAGGGTTATGGTACCGTGCACTATGATACAGCAACACACTATTAACACTCTCGCTAGACGGCTGAGCTCGCGCTATCTAACAAGATATACACTTTACTAACAATCTTTAACACATTTACAATCCCAACTAAACTATTGGCCAGTACCTTGAATGGACTACCTAAAACTATATACACCCGTTTTGGTTAGCCACACTGCCCAAACACCACATATAGCGAACTAGAGGGCGAAATTTACAAAATTGCCCTTCTAGTCTATTTACTCTATCAAAAGTCTAGTGGGTTCCAAATTTACACGCCTTCCCACTTAGCCAAGATAGGTTGAGAGCTAGCGAACCGAATTTACACAGGCGCCGCTTAGTCTCCCGGTCCCTCCGACCTAGCGAACGTAATATACACCCTAGAACGCTAGTCTAGACAAGACACCGGTGTCCGGCTAGGGCTATTTACACAGGACCCCGCCTGACTAACCAGATCAAACGGTCTTACTAAAGAGCGTTCGATCGAGCGGTGCGCCTTCGCTCCTTCCCTCCGACAGAGGGGGCAGATTCCATACACAGATTTAAACCCCTTTTGGGCCTACCGCACAATCGGTATACCCCTAGTGGGTCTGCCGTCTAAAACAGCAGTTGTCTTACCTCCTCGTTCCTGAACCTGAGTTCACACTCATCGACGGGGACACCCCAGCACTTCTTACGTAGAGGCCGATGATCTCCTGGACAACAGACCAGTGGCGCCGAGACGAAGGGAGGTCCACGCAGAAGTTCAGGGGTGCAGCCGTAGAGAACGTGGGCAAAGATAGACCGTCTCACGCCTCTGCCTCTCAGCTACCGTTGAACGATGAGCTTCCCGGCCAATGCACCAAATGATACCGGAGAAACTGACGGAAGCAAAGCACAGAGGGATGGACACAGGTTTCTTCAGGAAGGAAGAGATTCTTTATTGGATCACCGATCGGGACTCAGAGGGACTAATGTCACCAAAAATACAGCAAGTTCTGAGCCCTGAACAATAGTGCAGGCTCCCTATATAGGCACATAACTCCTCCCATATTAAGCTCCACCCGCACATTCTCTTGACCAATCATTACAAATAAGAATTAACTTCCTGCTTGACCGCATGGCTTGTCCAGCACAATGGAGGAGGGGAATACTACATCCTGTATTCTTGCACATGCTCCGTACACTACTGATCGTATCTTGCCTCGTGCAACCAACTGATCGATACGTCAGCATATGCACGTACACATGCCACGTGGTAATCTCGGCCTACTAAATTTATTTTTACCGAGATTCCACCACACTACAAAACCAAATTATAGCAATACTTTCATGCATCTGTCTGCCAAGTGTCTGTGAAGTTACAGAGTTAAATTTGACAAAATGTCAAATTCTATCTAAGAATATGGTTTAGTCTAGACCACGTTTAAGTGCATTTTACAGTTCATTAATTAAAACATAGATGTATACTATTTGCAGATATAGACATCCTGTGTAAGACTAACAGTGTTATTACGAATCATAAGGCGCACTTCTGGATTTGAAAAATGTTCAGTTTACTGTGTCCATAAATTCAGAGTTCAGCAGATCAAGGTTTTGACCTATTCAGGTCTTTATCAAGATCAGAACAACGTGTACAACAATATTTATAAGAAATCCAGGAGTGCACCTGATCATTCGTAATAAATATGTTCTCGCTGGTGTTTGCACCCTGGTATGTACCCATAATATTTCTATTTAAGGAAGAGGGGTGTGTGTGTGTGTGGTGTGTATATGTATATATATATATATTTATTTTTTTAAATAAATAGAGCACCATGGATTTTTTACAGCCTTGCAAGGCATGTAATAAAAATAAGTAAACATAAAAGTGGACAAAAAGAAGACACCCTTCTCAATAAAATGTCTGGTGCTGAATAAGCAAAATGTCATGGTTTCCCAAGACCTGCATGGTTGCCCAGCTTTCCAGTCACTGATGAAGGAGTAGTAAAGACACCATGAGCATCACATTGCAATCCCCCAGGACCTCAGCTAACCCTCAGAGACCTGTACAAGTGACGTCACCTCTTCATAGCCCATGGAGCCCGCAGGGCATTGTTCCAGAATAGGCGACAAATCATGTCACTTAGAGGGCACTCACTGCCCGGGTTATTAGGCGGCTTCCTGGACGCTGACACACGAGTACCGCAACACGAGTAACTCAGACCCGCCCAGGTAAGCGAACTCAGCCCTCACAAGCCTCACAAAACAAGCCTACACAGCCACCATTTTTATTCCCGAAATCCTTAGCAACGCTTTCTCAGAAGGAAAGGCGGAAGTAGCCTTTACGCCCCGCCCATATTTCGACACTTAGCCAATCACAAACCACTCTCTCGGCTTGCTCGATCGTGATTGGCTCACGGAGCCCTTCTACTCTGCTATTGGCTGGTACGGTGTGAAACTGCAGCAGGTTTGTGGGTGGGCGTTACCTTCACCTGTCATTTCGGCGTGGGAGGGGCAAAGGCTGCAAGTGACAAGGGGGAGGCGTGGCCAGTGCCCGTATTCACCAAACCCTTGTACGCCGTTTTCGTAGCGTTAAGCTATGTTGTCCTGCGAGTGGTTACGTCAGATGGAGCAATGTGCCTTTTCCAAACCCCTCCGCCTCATGTCTCCTCCCTCCATGTTTCTCCAGGTAAGGTCAAGAGGATCAGGTTGACGGAAGAGTCGGGCAGGAAGAGTGGATGAAACATGGCTGGAAAAGAGAACGAACTGTGCGACAGCCTCATTATATGGGTGAGAGAGAGAGGGACCCTGCTGGGGGGAGGGGGCGACTGGTGATGACGTCATATGGGCAGAGATGGTCCATGGGGGGCGTATATAACCCACCTGTAGGGAGGAAGGGCATTCAATTTACTGAACAGTTAGTATTTGTTTTAATATCATAATATGTGTATGGAGAGCCCTGCATTTTCTGTAATATAATAAATACATTCTGTAACATGTCCTTTAAGGGGTGTCTGTTTGCCTTACTGTAGAGCCAATGAAGGAATGTGGGGGGACGAGGGGGGTTGTACTATAATTACGGTACGTTCGTTATCTACAATATATTAATCATGGAGACGTCTCGGTACGTTCTGACGTAATATAGACCAAAATGTGGATATTGGGATACCTTCATTGGACTAACAGAATTTGTGGACTAATACGGCTAATCTTTAACCCCTTAAGGACACATGACGGAAATATTCCGTCATGATTCCCTTTTATTCCAGAAGTTGTGTCCTTTAAGGGGTTAAAACTTTCATGCGAAATTACAAGTATTATTTTACTGTAAAGTGAAAGTGAGTATTTGGGGATTAATATAATAAAAATAAATCAAAGGACGGGCACTCCTGGCACCATAACTACTACAGCAAATTGTAGCGGGCTTTGTGCCCCAAGTGACTGTCGCACGGTAAGCACTCAAACCATTTTAGTATGGTTTGGCAACTTATTAGTGTCCTGGCGGGTGCCCTCAGTTACATACCCTACGTCCAGTCTTCTAGGAGAATTCAGATTGTTGTATAGGGCAAAGCAGCGCAATGCAGGACAGCAAATGAGTGTGACTCTGTAATGGCTATGCTTTATTCTATAAACCTAAATAGGGCCATGTAGGCTCGCATGACCCTGCATAATAGGAGTTGCACTTCAACAGCTAGTTGAGTATGAGCACACACATTCCCCTTTCCGAGGTCCGGGTTCAGTCTTGAACCTGTTATGTCTGGAGGAATCTAAATACGAGTTCAGTAATTTCATGTGAAGATGCAGTTGGTAAATTGAATATGAAGTGATTCATTTTCTGTAGACACTGAATTGTAGGGATTTGAGATTGAATTGTAAAATTTAGTTAAGAAATGCACATTTAGAAGATTTCTTCAACTCCGCCATAGAAACATTTTATAGGGTTATTCACTGAAGTGAGAATTCAAAGTGAATTTAAAATGTAATGTCATCATAGACAAAGTGAAAACATTCTCTAACACAGCTATGCTTCCATTTTGACTACCTTGACCTTAAATTTGAAATTCACTTGGGGTTCTCACTTTAGTAAATAACCCTGATAGGCTATTTTATTATTTGATTTTCAGCTTACTACAATTTGGTGTTTACTCTCTCCTCCAGCTCTGCCTCACTCCCACCTTATTTGATGGCTATTTCCTTTCCTAATTTATGTTATACCCCACCTCCTATAGACTGTAAGCTTGTTTGAGCAGGGTCCTCTTCAACCTATCGTTCCTGTACGTTTTCTTGTAATTGTTCTATTTATAGTTATATCCCCCCTCTCATAATATTGTAAGGCGCTACTGAATCTGTTGGCACTATATAAATGGCAATAATAATAGTGAATAAAACACGGTGACAATTAATTCTCAATTTGATTTCTTTCATTTCATCTCACAGTTTGCTGTTTGTTTAAATAATTATATTCCTCATGTAGTTTTTTTTTTTCTTCTAAAAACAGAAAGTGTTTGCATACATTACCCTCTAAATTTTTGTAACAGTAAATTTATTATTTATCTGCCAATATTTCAGTGCCACTGAATATGCAGAGGCTTTATAAATAGTTATTATTATTATTATTATCGCCATTTACATAGCACCAACAGATTCCGTAGAGTATTACAATATTATGAGAGGGGAGATTTAACTATAAATAGGACAATTACAAAAAACTTACAGGAACGATAGGTTGAAGAGGGCCCTGCTCAAACGGGCTTACAGTCTATAATTATCATAATCACTTATTATCTGATACTCTAATGATTAGTTTAACTATAATATAATTACATCTCATATAGCAATATATTTGGGATATATCTGTATTTACTATAATATTCAGAGTATTTTTTAAAATGTATTTAACCATTCTTATATAGAGTTTTTTACATAGATTAAATGAACAGTTTAGTGTTAGAAATACAAATATGTATTCCTAGCTCTATAGTTTAAAGCTATTTATTTAGATCTTTTCCCCACGCTTGAGAGGGTTTGAAAAGTGAAATTTTCTTAACTTTTTAGCCCTCAACGCTCTGGTCTCCTGCTTGACACAACCCCTCCTTACCTGAGATCATTAACGTGGATTTGTCACCTCAAACATACATTTCTCCTAATGTTTCCGCTGCTCTTCCAGAATCTGTTCTTCTTTCTTTGTTTATGATCTATTTCTCTTTAAAACACAAGACAAAATATGGACTAATTTGTCTTGTGAATTTTTACTACACTTGGCAATCTTGACAACTTAAGGCAAGTTACACTATATTTGTGAAGTCTGAAAACGTATTGCAAAAGCTGTAACTCTCTTGTCTGCAGCCATAGCAAGTCCTCCCCTCTTTCCCCAGTGCAGACTTTCTGTGGCTGTCCAATCACATACTTCCCAATAGAACTCAATGAGAAGTCTTTGCAAGGCAGGTGCTCTGGTTAACTGCTGCCTATTGAGTTTACCACTGCTGAGCTGAACAGCCATGACGTCACAGCACTGGTTGTCTAATTGACAGCCAGGAGGCTGCAACAAGGTCAGTTTATAAAAGTGCTAATTTCTATTGAAATCTGCACTTTTTGTAAAACGGAAAAAAAGAGGACACGCCTAGAGCATTTCAGCAAGTGCTTTAGGGATCCGGAGTGGTCCTTTAACCCTGCGTTGGAAACATTGTAGTTACTACAAAACTGCAATGTTTTATATTGCAGGGTTAAAATGACAGGACCACTGCATCCTTTATTGACATGAAGTAATCTGTGTGGCTTTAGTGGTCCTTTAACCATTTATACAATGATTGCAAGTAACATTTCGATACTGTCATTTTGTTGTAATATAGACCTCAATTTTATTAATCAGCATTTCAAATTATCAACATCTGTTAGAAAAACTTTTTCAAATGATTTATTTCCAGAAGTCTTTAGTAAAGTATATGGAAATATGTGTAGATAAATCATTTGAAAGGTTTTTCTAACAGATTGTGATACTTTGAAATGCTGATCCAAACAGATGAAATCTAGACCATAGCGTAGGTATACTACTGAGAGGAAACATCACGTTAAACTAAATATCAATTACTGCTAATTATTGAAAATACTCGGACAGTAAGGTATCATAGAACAAATTCTAGAACAATACAGTTACATTGAGAAATGGTTTATACATTTCATCACTGAAACTAATGGGTTTACAGCTAGGGGCTGTAGGAATCAGAATAAAACTTGCACAAGTGGGGAGAGGGGTATTGGAAAGAGATCAGATCTGATGAACTGAGGGGAGCCAACCAAAGGATTGAGCTACAGAGTATCACAGATTGTGTGGGTTAAGAGGTGTGTCTTCACAGGTTTGCAAGAGTATAAGTAAGAAGTGGTTTATTGAATATAAGTTTGCAGTAGTAGGAAGTCAGAAGTCAGAATGAGATTTTTGAGAAGGAGCACATGATTATGGGCATGGTTTAAGGGATGTTGTAGAGAAGGCTGGTGGGGGTAAAGCGGAATACAAGTGAGTAGAGATAGTGTGGTGGACCATCGTAGTACTAATATTATTTTCCCCTCATACATTAGTCAATAATTAATGTTGGGAGTAGATCTGCTTTATTCAGACAAGGCACACAGAATTTATACACAGACACCCAGCATGGGGTCTCCATCCAAAACAACACAAACTCCTCCCAGGCGTCCCTGTGTCTGGGATATAATTGAGTCAAAGACTGGTAACTCAATTATCTCTCAGTTACAGGGAACCATATAAAATATGCACAAAACACCCCAAAACTACATTCAAACTTCACAGGAACCCCACAAGTCTTATATCCTCGAATAGCCGAGATCTGAGCGCCCAAATTGTCCAAATAGCGCTGAGATCCATTTGGTGTAATGGAATCGCCATCGGGGTGAACTTCGAGAGTTCCTGTGCGAATAAAACAGAATGCTCCCCCTGGCTCTTAGGGAGCGAATGCCCTCAGATGAATGAGTCTTTTTCAGAAAGAGCGCTCTCCTGGGTTGTCGGTGAGAGGAGTAGGAGGTGGTACAAGTTCTCTGGGGTTTGCGAGTAGGCGTGTCCAAAATCAATTCCATGCAGTCGACGATAAAGTACCACTGCCTGTATTCGGCAGACAAAATAGCCGCCATTCCCTAAAGCATGTGGGTTTGGTCATATGAATGGTGGCCTCCCAGAGAGGGCACTTGAGTTAACGACTTCTTTTGAAGTTAATGAGCCAGGGTGTGGTCTGGGTTCGTGGGGGTATAAAAAGGGGAACAC